TGTATCGATTTCAACTTGGTGCTTTACAAAGTCTCTAAGTACTTGTCCTTTGGCACCAAAAATGTTTTTTTTTTAAAACTAACTTCTTCACCCGCTGCGCAGTTTTAGGTGTTTCCTGAACAATTTTTTTTCCGAGTTGATGTGTTTTCGAACTCACTGATTCAAATATTCACATCTTTCCTCTAAAAGAAACATTTTATGGGTGGAAATTTGGCAATTCTCGAATGCTCATACGGCGTTCTTCCTTAGCACGGCAGAATAGACCATTGGACCATGGTTGCTGCAATCCATCACTGGACAGGACTCGAAGCAGGATAGTAGAAGTTACACTTATACTGCCGTCCTAAGGAAGAACGCCGTAAGAACCTTCGTGCGTTCCCAAATTTCTTTTGGATAAATACGAATTTCCAAGAAAACTCGTGAAAATTTTCCGTCCAATTTTCCGGAGAAATTTCTTCGAAATGTGATTTGAAGTATCAGAGAATTTCGAGTAGAGCTATTCATTATTTGTCTCAAAAATTAATATTTCTCGAGGGGAAATTCCGTACCTCTCGGATCCTCTTCTTGCGGTGCGAATAATTTTTCAATTCACGGAAAAAATTAAATTGATGATTTAACAACTAAATTGCTAAAAAAAGTGACTGCAATGTTTCAACGTAAATTTTACAACAAAAAAATTCCTACTTTAACCACTATTGTAAGTTAATTTAACCACGGGGGTGGTAGCATTTTTATGCTGTGAAATCTACATTGAATCATTGCAGTCACTTTTTTTAGCAATTTGATTGTTAAATCAGCAATTTAATTTTTTCCGTGTTCTCGCATTTTAAATGATTGTCAACAAGAAGAGCTGTAACAAGGAATTGTTGACTTGTGAGTTGTTGTCAATCCACGGTCATTCGAATTATTTTAAATTCATTATAATTTTCATTTAATTTATCTGAAGATTACGGAGAGTTTCGAGGCGGGATTATGTTATCAAACTTGGTCGAAAAAGACTCTGTTCACATAATTATTGCAATCGCAAATACAGTGAAGTTGACTCAGCTGCTAATGGAGGTTCAGCTGTTGGCTAGCTCACCGATGACCCGCGGGAAAAGGTTATCCAGTCCCTCGAAACTGATTACCGAGACGGTCTTTACCTAGTTTTTACAACAGACCACGTTGCTGCGATTTTAGCCGAGGCTCCTCATTTACTCTCAAATTAATTCAGGAATATTACCGGTATTCAATAGAGCTATTTAGCACAAGTGAGATTCCCACTACACCGGGTGAAGCGAAAGGTTAAACTGAGCAGCATGAAAGAGCTCATCGTGCAGTAGTTGTGAGGGACGGAGAGGGACTCATACTTATGAGAAAAGCGGCCTAAGAACATTTCAATGTTGCCAATTTTCTTTCGATCAAGAACGAATTTAGCAGGAAAATTCTGAATACTTTACTTTCAGTTTTTAAGAAAATTTTGTCTGCAATCTGAAATGTCTGAAAAAAATGGCGTATGAATATTTCAATGTTGTCAATTTTCTTTCGATCAAGAACGAATTTACTAGGAAAATTCTGAATAATACCCATGAACGTTCTATCCAAGAGAAGAAGTTCAACTTTAAAAAAGCTAAAAAGGAAAAAGGGAAACTTGCCATCTCTCCATTCTGGAAAACGAGAGAAGTGTGCCTTATCCGCTTTGCGTGCGAAATTACGCAAATCTTTCGACTGTACAACGACTGAAATTACCGCCAGTTCGTTTGTACCGGTAAAATAACAATGTCTCTTTGAAATTGGATAATTCTTACGCAGTATAACGCTGCGGTACGACCAGTGGCGTGGCTTGCTTTGCGATATACCGAGTGATCTGCCATTTAAATCTATGGAAAAGGATCGATAGATAGATTCTCCACGAACTCCTTCGTAATCGATTCTTTATCATAGCTTCAAATGAGGAAACATCGATAATCGATCATTCACGCCTCGCCACTGGCTACGACTCCTTAATTATTCAGACTGGCTTTGGATTAAAGCGTGCAAATGTATCTATTTTGATTGTGTCATCTGTGTATTGTTCAGATGCTCATTATAGTATTTCCCCGTTCCTTCGTTACATACTGCTCTTACTCTGTAAATCTTCATTTCCGTCTTATGTTTTTCTCTCTACATGTGACCATCCACAGGAAGAAAGACGTGAGCCCACGAGGGGGAAATCGTTGGAGCGTTTTTTTTTTTTTTAAATTGGTCGTAAAAACAGGTTTTTAGATCTTTGCAAAAGAATTTTTAAGAAAGTTAGTTGATAGCGGTTGAATTGATTTTTAGGCCAATAGAGGGTACGAGGGTGCATTGTAATCTGATTATTTTGTAACCTAAACAGGGTGGCCACAAGTCCGGAATTTCCGGAAATATTACTGATTTTTTAAGGGCGGTACGGAAATACTGAAAAAGTGCGGAAATTCCGCAAGAAGGCCCGGAATTTTTCCAGTTTTTGTCATTTTTGTCGCAATTTGAGCGAGAAATTCAAAGTTTGAAATTTTTCGATTTTCGTCTAATGGAAGTACTGAAAAAGTCCTGAATTTTTCTGTTGAGGAAGTACTGAATTTCTCGGGAATGTACTGAAAAAGTACCGTAAAAGTGCTGATTTTTGGTTAGCCTGTTTTAATAAACACCCTGCACTGGAAAAAAAAACACATTGGATCTAGAGTCCAGACTCTTGCGAACATTGACAAGAAAAAGGACTCTTAATTCAATCAGATTTGAGCTTACATCAAAAGGAAACCCGCTCAAATTAAGAGGCTTAGTTCTTGATTTAAGCTTAAATCTGATTGAATCAAGAGTATTTTTTCTTGTCGATGTTTTTAAGAGTCTGGACTCTAGATCCAATGTTTTTTTCTCCAGTGATGCTAAACATGACGGATTAGAATTTTACTTTCTGGCTTTGGTGAATAGCTATGGAACTTTTCCGAGGAGTTGAATCAGTTCAGTTTTCAGTTTTACCGTTTGGATAATATTGACGGTGAAACTACCAGACGACGTAGCTCGTTTGCGGTGTTTAAAAACCTCCACTCACATTTTATTTATTTGAAGGGGAACAAATCAATTTCATTCCTTTGAATTTTTACAGAACTTTCTTCGCCCAGAGAAAAAACGTTTTTAAACTTTGAGGTTTAGTATTTTTTTCATTTTAAAATAAAGCAAGTCAGGGAGTATACCATGTCGTAAACCGAAATACGTGGTCTGGTAGTCACCGTCGTGTCGATATGTATTTTTCTACAGATTTGTTTCCATAATATAGGTCTCCCTTCAAACTTGCCGTCTAGTAATTGACGAGAAGATTTCCGCAGAAATTGAACTGAGAGCGTGGAAATTCCGTCGAAAATGAAATAATTATGTGATTAAGTTGTTTTGTTTATCGAGCAATGCTCCGTTATCACGCGCGGACTCAGATAAAACTCAAGAAGTGACCGTTGGCTATATCATCATACGGTATCAAATCGCCCAAAACACCACATGCTCAGGGGCGATTCTCGCTATTTTCGCTAAGAATAAATTATTTTAAATCCACCATAAAGAGCGATGTTATACACAGTAAGAAAAAGTAACTGACATTTTGTGTTAATATCGGAAGTAAAGCACAAAGTAACCTAAACTTGCGGTTCATTCTTTTGGGGGTTAGTTGGATTACATTATCCCATACACAAAGCGGAGCGGCGACGCACTGGCGCCTACAAACCTAACAGGGATACTTCACGCTTTGCGTAACGCGTGAAGTATCCCTGTTAGGTTTGTAGGCGCCAATGCGGAAATGCATTGGCATTCTCTCTATTTCTGGCCCAATTTAGAAAAAGCATACGTGCCATTAGTTTCCCTATGCAGATACGTGCTTTTATGGGAGAGTCAGAGGTAACCTATTGCAAAGTGTAAACCAGTTTTTCTTTGCGTTACATCGTCCGATCTTGCGGTTGAAAATTTGCAATATCTATTTAATTTTTAATAAAGGAATTTAAAGGTCAAAATTTGCAAAGCCACTTCCTCGAAACTTCAGATGAGTTTTTCTCAAATCAAATATTATTCAAAGACGCCTGACGCCCTTCTTCGGGCCAACTCTTCAATTGGATGTACTTGTGCCAAAAGGAACTATGTACATAGGGATTGCGTGCAACATAGTTCCTTTTAGCATAAATATGCCCAATTGTTGTTGAGACGGCACAATTTTTAAACAAAATTTTCTGTGGAAACTCCCTTGTGGAACTGGAGAAGTTCTCACCTACACTCACCTTTGCTCCTGGTAGATTCTCTTAAACCATCAATGATGGGGTGTTCCTCTGTAAACAGGGTATCTAGCATCAGGATTTTCCCAATTTTCCCGATTCTATCAGGATTTGAGGTCAATCAGGAACCAATCCCGATTTCATCAGAATTTGAGGAAAAATCGGTTGTAAAATCAGGATTTGAGAAAAGTCGGCTGTCCGGTCGAATTTTTTTATCGAGCTATTTTTGTGAAGCTAAAGTTTCTCCGCCAAAAATCAGGAGTTGTTCAGGACTTCCCCAAATGACAAAAAAAGTAGACACCCTGGTACCCCCCCCCCNCCCCCCCGGATTCCTTTTATGAAGTGGTTTTTTACAATCCCCCACACTGGAAAAAAAACCACATTAGATCTAGAGTCCAGGCTCTTGAAAACATTGACAAGAAAAAATACTCTTGATTCAATCGGATTTTTGCTTGAATCAAAACGAAATCTGCTTAAATTAAGAGACTTGGTTCTTGCTTTAAGCTAGATTTTGATTGAATCAAGAGTAGTTTTTCTTGTCGATGTTTTTAGGAGTCTGGACTCGAGATCCAATGTGTTTTTTTTTCCAGTGCACTCCCCGACTCCCTTGATGAAGTGCTCTTCTCCCCCCACACTCTCTCACACACATCGAAAGTTCCTTGTTATCCCACGTATGTTTAGATGTGATTTTTCAACCCCTTTCTTTCGAAGACTCCTACTAATTTTGTTGATTTTTCGTTGTTGTTCCAGAGCTACGGGATTCACTACAAGAAGGAGCAGGAGATCGAGATGATCACATACGTGGATCATGTAGATTACGACGGCCCGGCCTACAGAGCGGGCATGCGCCAAGGTTAGTAGCTTCCTTTCCTACTTGTGAGCACGACTCAGCGCACGATGGGGCGAGTCGCCGATGACGTGGAAACTTTGAAAGCTCATATTTTTATTAATGAGAAACGGAAACGGAGTCCGGATCACTGGGGGAAAAAAACACATTGTATCTAGAGTGCAGACTCTTGAAAACACTGACAAGAAAAAATACTCTTGATTCAATCAGATTTAAGCTTAAATCAAAAGGAAATCCGCTCAAATTAAGAGGCTTGGTTCTTGATTTAAGCTTAAATCTGATTGAATCAAGAGTATTTTTTCTTGTCGATGTTTTTAAGAGTCCGGACTCTAGATCCAATGTGTTTTTTTTCCAGTGATGCGCGCATTTGTTTGAGCTTTGGAGTTTTTTCAGAGAAAACCAGTGGCCCCATCGTGTCAGTCGCGAAATTTTACACAGGAACCAGTATTTAAATCGCAAATCCCTGACAAATGCAAGAGCTCCATTCTGCCGTGCTAGGGAAAAACGCCGTATGAGCCCTTAGACGTTTCCAGATCTCCTTTAATAAAAACCGAATATACTAAAAAAAATTGTTAATATTTTTGTCAAATTTTTCAGATAATTATGTTCGCAATTTGATCTAGAACATCTGAAAATTTCACGGATAAATGAATCAGTGAGAACGGAATTACACAAACTCGGAAAAATGAAAATAATCAAGTCACACGCAAAACTGCACAGCAGGTGAAGAAGTTAGTTTCAGAAAACAGATTTTTGCTACCGAAAGACAAGTACTTTTGGACTTTAAAGACACTTTAAAGGTCCAAGTTGGAACAGACGCACTAACTTTAATGACCTTTCGTGTAAATGAACTGTCTTAAACGGAAATTGAGCATTTTCGAGTAGGTAACCGAGTTGGTGTGTTTTCGTTCTCACTGATTCAAATATGCATAACTATCCCAAGAAATACATGTTTTATCCACAGAAATTTGGCAACTATCGAATGTTCATACGGCGTTCTTCCGTAGCACAGCAGCATTCTCTCCTTGCCTTTTTTGTCTGTAACCTCGTCTATAAATTTTAACTCTCAGCCCGCTGTGCGGCGTTGAGTAGTTCACGCATCCACATCATTCCTCGCTATTGTTTTCACGTTTTGTCTCATCCTCGTACCGCCGTGCTTAGGAAAAACGCCGTATGAACCTTCAGGCGTCGCCAAATTTCTTTCAGTAAATCACAAATTTTCGGAAAAAATTGTGAACATTTTTCTTCCAATATTTCAGACAATTTTGTTCGCAATTTCACCCGGAGCTCCTGAAAATTTCAAGGAAAAATATGGATAGCTTTTCTGAAAAATAAACATTTTATCGAAGGAAATTCGGCAACTCTCGAATGTTCATACGGCGTTTATCCTTAATACGGTAGCGTAGTACTTACATACGAAGGACCCCGTGCGGCCCTTAGCTTTGGTCTCCAGCCGCGGTAATTTTCCCGTCACTTCAGCATGAGTAATGAGGGTCATACGGTAGCGTTGTTCCTTGCCTTGGGGAGCACGCATCGGTATAAACGGCATATCCTACAGTTCCGGACTACTCATGTTAGGAAAGTGAAGCATATCACTGAAAAAAAAATCTCGGTGTATTTACTTAGAAAAGGGTAAAATTACCAAGAATGCAGGGTTCTATTTGATCCCAGTTTTTTCTTGGTAAAATGACCATTTATGGAATTGGTAGTTTTACCGAGAAATCTCGGTAAAATTATTGAACTTTCTCGGTAATTTTACTGGACCTTGGTAAAAACGCCAATATTTTTATCGACTATGGTAGAATTACCGAGATAAAATGGCAAAGTTACCGGGAATTGATTACCAATAAAAGTGGTATTCTTACCTGAAAAAAGCAGTAAAAATACCGGTTTTTAGGTAAATTTACCAGTCTGTCTTGGTAAAATTACCAATAATTGGTAAAAAAAAGTGCGATGGTAAAGGTACCAACGGACCTTGGTAAAAACGCCGATAATTTTTTTTTCAGTGTAGGATCCAGGGTGTCTAGTCTACTAGTCCGGAATTTCCGGAAACAGTACCGATTTTTTAAGGGCGGACCGTAAGTACTAAAAAAAGGCGAAAAAATTTGCACAATCACAAAAAAATTGCGCCAGAATGCTACTTACCCTAGGGCTTTTAAAACTTGGGTTTAGATGATGTTTTGGCCAAAATCGGCCCCTATCGATACCCCTCCTTTATTTTTGGGCGAGGGTACACAATAATTTCTCATGGGTCGGGAACAGTCGATAGGTGAAAAATTCTAAAAATTACGACAAATTATAAGGTTTTTAAGGAAAACATTTTCTGGGTTTAGGTTGCCAGCAACGCTGCTGTGTGCTGTTGCACATTTCTTAGTTCATAGTGTAGCGGGAATGGCGCACGAACATGGAACGCGAACATGTCTCAAGAATGTCGCTTTCCTCAAAACGCCTTCATAGCTGGGAAATACCTCTCGCCCTTCGTGAACGATCGAATAGTTACCGTCATGTAAGGCGCTGGCGTCAAGTTTCCAATGGAAACGAGCGCTAATAAATAACCTGCATGTTGTCACGCATACACACACCTGAAATAAATTTTTCTTATTCTGTTATTTCTCGGCAACCTACTGTATTGTATTTTATTTCAACTCCAATAAAGAACTTATTTTAAAAGTTTATTTAATCAAACGAAATTACAATTAAACAAAAATTATGGTTTCAAATGTAACTACTCCTGGTTCTATTTCGCAAATTTCTAATTTTTCTTTTAATTTTGTGTTTCAGGAGATGTAATATTATCAATTAATGGCCATGATATGGAAAAAACTGATCATAAAACTCTCGTTAATTTTATAAAAAATTGCGATTCGCGCATGAGAATGGTTGTCCTCTTTGAAGACTGCGTAAGAAAGGTTAGTGCTCGCTGTCGAAAAAATTCTTAAATCTATTTCTAGGAAAATTTTGTCCTGACACTAAAGTCATACAAGCCATTAAGTTGAAAATTTTAACTAAACCATAGATTTGAAGCATTTATTACAACGACAGTTTGACACAGTGTTCTAAACAGCCTTATCAATATCGAAACAGTTTTTTTTACACGAAGTGACAAATTTTGTAAATCACATACCCCAATACACATTTTTCCCTGAAAATTGCACTCACATTATCCATCCATCGGTAAGATGTTCATATTGTCCGCCTCATCTATGCAAGCCTCCTGCTTGCAAAAAACCTAATAATACTGGTTTCCCTGGGAGCACACAAATTAACTTAAGTGCTTGGATTTTAGTTTCTGTGGCTCTTTCGGGAATGCACACCTATAATTACAACTTTTGATGAGAGAACATGACTTGAAGTACTGAGTACCATGGTTTTACCATGTATATGTACCCATTTGTACAATATGTATTTTGGTCAACTACCTGATGGAATTTCAATGTTGCCGCCGTCAAATCTTTGTGACTTGAATATGATGTGAATATTTTAATTTGTGGAAAACCATTTGTGCATATTTATCTAATTTTTTTGATTTTTTGCAGGTGGAATTACACATGAGGTATATCAAACTACAAAGGATTCTGCAAAATAAAACCCTAGAATTAGAAAAATTATGTTTAAAAGAGAAAGAATTACTTGAAGGAAAATGGAAAACTCGAAGTTTGCCAGCACGGAAGAAAGCAAGCTCAAGCAGTAGAACTGATGGCAGCTCTAATGTACCTCTTGAAAATGGTAATTTGTTGTTTTTTCTTTAACCTCAGGCTGCACCAATGCTTTTTCATCAATGTTTTTTCATGAATGTCAGAAATCATATTCTCCCATCGAAGTTAATATGATTTTGAGTTAAAACATTTAAGTAATCTTCTTTGACCATAAAATTTTTCTTAGGTCCGTCTTTAAGTGGTGTATGTAACATACACAATCAGGCAATCTTTTGAATATAAAATGAGGAGCTACTTCTGCACAAGTCTTGTAATTAAAATTTTAAAAAAAATAATTAACTCATTGCAATTGAGTTGGTAATTTTTTTTTAAATTTTAATTTTTTGAATCATTTGAAGCTATGAAAAGTTACTCTCTGCTTTTCAATCGTTATTATTTTTTTACATTTTTGTTGATCGAAATTCTGTAAACAAACGCAGTGGAAATGAAGGAGTGCGTTTTGTTTACTTTCTGTGAAAATTGGGAATGATTTAAGGGCAAGAATAATTTCCAAAGTGATTTCTATGGAATTGTTTTCCCTGAAAAGATGTTTTATTTTCATCTCAGAATATTCTTTTAATAGCACCTGCTGGTCTTAAAATTTTTTTTCTTCGTTTTACTTTTTTTTTTTTTTTTTTTTTTTTTTTTTAAAAAAGGTCTGACCAGATTTTCATTTCATCCCTTGTTTTTCGGATAATTCTTACAAATGTCATGTAAATATTTCAGCTCTCATCTCTCGAATTATCTAATGACCCAGGATCTGCCATATTTAAATGTATTAAACCTAAGTCGATTTTTTCATCAGGTGATTCAGAGCATGTTCGGCCGACGCACTCTACGGAAGATGTAGGCGGTCAAGAAACAGGAGCAAGTCGAAATTCAGGACAGAAACTACTCATGTTCCGCCCCTACCAATACACAGATGCTCAAGGGTGTACCATTTTCATTCACCCTACTACCACTCCTAGTTCCAGTTCTGAGTATTTGCTCGCCAGTTGGCAAGGGTAAGTATTCTACATTATATCATCTTGAGGGCTAAACAAGCAAACCTCTGCAAGAAAAATCGGTTAAAAAAAGCTTCTAGAGTTTAAAATTTACAAGTAAAATATTGCATAGGCCAAGTATTGATCATCAGCTTCATTGACAGGATTTGATGATATTTTTTCATGTTAACTTCCTCATCGTACTGATCAAAATTAAGGGCTTGGAGGACAAGGCTCGTAAGTGCAGTTTTTCCTATTTCAAGAAATACATGGTTAAAGTTTCAAAATTCCATGGGACCTCATTTTGGAAAGGAAGTTTAAACTCATTTTCTGATACTTTCAAGTTGGATTTTAGTTGTGAATTTTTCACTGAGTACACTTTCAAACTAGTTTTAGTTGAGTTCATAAATATCTCAATTTTTAAAAAACTGCACTTCTGCGCCCTGTCCTCCAAGCGCCTTTTATCATCTTGTGGGTGAAGGGAAATCTCTGCAGGAAAAAATGGTTGAAAGAAGATTTTACCACTATAAAATTCACAAATAAAAGATTGCATCAAAGTGAGTGTTGATTATGAGCCTAATTAAGAGGATTCGATTATATTTTTTCATATTAACTTCCTAATTGTCATTGCACTGATCAAAATTTCTCTTTGCTTGGTAAGACTCTGTGTCTTATTCTGGAGATATTTGTGACTGAACAGTAACAAGAATCTAGCTGTCTGTCCAAAAATAATTACAGATCGGTTCAATTAAAGTGATCAGAAGTTTCATTCAAGATAAAATCATTGAAGTTTGTCCATTGTAGAGTCTTTGGACCTTCCTAAAATTACGCCTCGAATGTCATTTGTTCCCCAATATTTCTGTGAGGGGTCTGACCTGTCCAATTATTTAATATTGTGGACCATACATGATGATTTTTAGCGATTTCTTATCGTTTGCTAGACTCCACCATTTTTTCTCCGTAGTCAAATGAAACCTTGAATTAAGGAAGTAAGTAAACAATTTCTGAGTGAAGGATGGTTTTTAAGTTTGTCTGGAAGCTTATTTTCTCCTGCCAAAAATTTTCAAGTTATGAAAAAATATTCAATGTACAAGCAAAACTTAACTTGAAGTCTGGTGTATGCATTAAGCTTTATGCGGAAAGAAATTTTCACCTTCTCTTTCTCTAATTTTAGTCTTTAGTTCTCTTTTAAAAAATAAAATAATAGCAGACATTTTGAAAGACTGCAACCGAGGTTTACATTTTTGAAGTTCAATGTCAATGAGACATTTCTGCATGTCACCACCCTAATGAAGTTTACTGATACCAGCAAAACTTCTCATAAACACTCTTTTGGTTTGTCTCATTTGTATGATTTTTCATGCTTTCAGTTCCAACTCAGAATCCGTATCAGTCATGAAACAACCTAGATCTAATCAACATTGCCAAAGACAAAATAGTTATCAACATCACAGAGATAGTTCAAACCGAAGACGAAGTGTGTTTGAAGACGTGCCTCGAAGTTATGAAAGAACGAATGGATATGCAATTAGCAGCAGTAAACCTAGTAAAAGTAAGTTTTTTTCACTCATTATGTATTTCTGTGATGGAAGCAATCATGATTTGGGTATTTGGTTGGTCTTGTGTACTTCTTATTGAATCCTGCTTTGATAATTTTTATGCGTACGTATCGTAAACGATCATCAATTAAAAGTAAATTTTGGTTTCCTCTTACCCCCTTGACCTATTTAAGTTTTGGGAGTAATTATTGAGTTTAGCATTGTATTATCAAGATGAATAAAGTTTTTCATTGTGTGGTGTGTGAAGTTATTCAATGAATTGAGTTTTTGCCTGGTTTTCGCTTTTATGCCTGTTTGGTTTGAGTAGTATTTTATGACTTTACTCTCCTTTTTGGTGAAAGTGAGATATGATGGAATGTCGAAAGTTTAAAAACTTTTGAACCTTAAAAATCACCAATGAAAGAGTCATTCAGGAAATTTAAACTCTTATCTAT